GCAACGCTGTACTGAAATTCATTTCATATCATCTTTTGGGGACGCGTAGAAGGGAATTTATTAAAACGGGAGCAGCTGTGCATGGCAACTAATCCGCTTCTCTCTTTCATTTTTTAAGGCCTCATTCGTGCTAGAAACGGCTGGCGCATACAGCTCCGCGCTGCGTGCATGGCCGGCCGTATCAGGCAGCTCCCGGGAAGGACAGGTGCTGCGTGTGATTAGTAGGCAGCCCCCGTCCTTCTCTATGGGGCTACACGGCCATACGTCGCCCTGCGCTCACTTGCTCTGCACATCCGTGCAGGTGCGGGTGAGCGTACTCATACGCTGACAGGGTGGATCCTGTGTGTGTCCGAGCCGGGACACCCGCACCCGTAAGGACCTGCACTTGAGGTGAGCGTAGGGGGTGTACGGCCGCGTACTCCCATAGAGAAGGACGGGGGCTGAGTACTAATCACACGAAGCACCTGTCCTTCCCGGGAGCTGCCCGATACGGCCGTGCACGCAGCACGGAGCTGTACGTGCCGGCTGTTTCTAGTGTGAACGAGGCCTAAATCTTAACTGAATAAACTGAAGAGAGAAGCTGATTGGTTGCCATGCACAGCTGCTCCAGTTTTTGTCTGCTCCAGTTTTGATAAATTCCCCCACAGAGCTTTCTTTTGCTGGTATTTAATCACCGCTGGGGGTTTTTAAAATAATTTTACTATATAAAGAAAAATGTACTGAAAATGTTGAAAAACAAAACCTGTTTTCCCTACGTTATGTTATGAAACATTTATTATTACCCCAGTTGTTTGCTAAAATATAAAAGATGAACAGATGGCAAACATATCAAGCCCGCGAAATCGCAACAAACTACCATGCCCCAAATTGGCCATAGGCGACGATTTAAAAGCTTTTACCGCTCATCAGTTTACAGTTATCAGTGATTGCTGGTCCCAGATTTATTGCTCACACTCCCACATTTGTGGCGATATGTAATATGTGGCGTCATTTTTCACGTAAGTGCATGCGACGTGTATGCATGTTTGCGGGGGATCCAGGTAGGGGATCTAAACACCTGGTCTTCAAGCAGTTAAAGCCTCATTTTTTAAACAAAAATGTTTCCTTTAAGTAGACCCTCCTTTGCTGGAGGCTGTTGCTGTTTTTTTAAAAAACTTTTTCATTCCTCGTTTTCTAGTGGATCCCTACAGCGCTCTTCTCCCCGCCCCCTGCACGGGTGCCACCATTGTTCTAATGGAGGCACCAGTGGCTGTGTGCCTCCATAGACATGGCTCCTCTGCCATCAGTATCCTCCCCGCGCAACCTGGAAGTTCAGGGAACGGAGGATCGCTTTGGGACCGGCGGCGGGGGCGATCGTAGCTGACA